CTTGAGCATCTACACGTCTGGGAGGTCACTGCAGCCCATCACAGGGGTGGGTGCTGGGAGAGCTGATGCAAAAGGAGAGAGAGCATCGTGCAGGAGGATACCAGAACTGCTGGGAGCTGGGCACAGGGCAGAAAACAGCCTCTTTTGGCACTGCTTTTCCCTTTCTAGTGAGATCTTGAGAAGTGTTAGTCACTATTACAGGTCATGGGCAGGGACATCCCTCTAAACCAGCTTCCCTGCCTGAGAGGGGGCTGAGTGCAGGGCAAGGGCTGGTCCTGGCTCAGCCAGGGATGAGGATGAACCGCTTGCAAAAGTGGACCCAAGGATGTTCCTCCAGGAGGCAAATCATTGAGGACCCATAAAAGAAAGCATGTGAGAAGAAAGCATGCTCCTAATGTCAGGGGAAGTGGCATGTGGGAGGGCAACACCAGGGCATCCTGGCACAGAGAGCGTGTGGGAGCCAAAATACAGGCTGTCTTACTGTCCTTTCCCTTAAAATTGGAGTTCAGGAAGACACAGAAGTTTTAATGTTACTTACTTTAATGTTTTAACATTACTGGCTTTGCAGTAAGGGATGAGAAAGCCCCAGTAAATTAGGCCAAGATGCAATTTATGGCTGGAGGAAATCTTGCTGGACTTCCAGCAACTGGGCCACCATCCAAAGTCCATAATAAGTTTTTATTTCATTCTTACAGAATCAAAATCCCACCGACTTCGTTTCCATCTGCTGGGACATTTCTATGTGAAAAAAATGACCTCACTATCAGAGGTTCTGCTGCTTTTCTTTAGATATGCAGAAATACAAAAATAACCCCTCTGTCTTCAATGTGAAAAAATCCTGCATTGTCCTGAGGGAGCTTCAGGCAGCTCTTAGTTGTCATAATTTTCTTGCAGTTTCTCCAAATAAAAGCTTCTAAGAATTATTTAGCAACCTTATCACATCAGCAACAGATTTTCCTTTAACCTCCTATTCCCAGTTTTGCCTTAAAAAGAATGGGATGCAGATAAGAAAAACACAGGTGGATGTACGAAAGAAAGATGTCACCAGAAGTAATTTCTAGAAGCCATCAGGAGAGCACAAGAGGAATATCAGGAACATCTTCTCCTCACCAGACAGAGAAAGAAAACCCTTGCAAGCTCTCATTACATATTGAGGGTGATATTAAAAGCCAAATGGCCCATTTGCATGGTCAGTGTACAACCTGCAACATGAGAGGCAGCAGGGTTAGTTTTATGAACGATTTTATAGCGAGATTAGAGCAAAGAATTCAGTAAGTGCTCAAAGACCTGAGATATATGGTGTGGGAAGTAATCCAAG